CAGACAATATCTCCCAGTGAATGTCTTCTCTCCCTGCAAAAAGCAAAATTGAGCACTGGGTTTGGACCCCCGTTTTTAACTTGGCTGTTCCACGGTAAACAGAAAGGACACCGCTGCTTGGTTTAGATTCTTCAAAGCTCCAGAATCAGGCCTCCCAAACCCAGTCATCATCGTCATTGGGCGACTCTGCCGCCAGCACAGACAGAGCCCGGGAGGTGACCCACATGCGTCTGCGTGTGGCCGGCAGAGGCGGGCCGGCTCCTGCCTGTGGATGTAATTGTAACCTAGTTTCTCAGAAACCCACTAGCATAGATTTCAAGCCTCTGAACTGAGGCGGGGCCTGAGGTTCCTGAATTGGGTGGAAAGATGGTGTGCACCCAGAATGGTGATTTGCCCTCAGCGTACAGAGCCATCCATCCAGGCTCCCCCAGGGCAAAAGGCAAATGTGCATCCAGCAAACAGTTACTGAGCACCCACATTGGGGAATAGAGAAATGAGGGAGAAGGGTTCCCCGGCTTACAGTCTAGTGCAGCAGTTCTCAACCTGTGGGTCGCGACCCCTTTGGCGGTCGAACGATCCTTTCACAGGGGTCGTTTAAGACCATCCTGCATATCAGATATTTACATGACGATTCCTAATAGTAGCAACATTACAATTATGAAGTAGCAACGAAAATAATTTTATGGTTGGGTCACAACATGAGGAACTGTATTTAAAGGGCCAGAAGGTTGAGAACCGCTGGTCTAGTGGGAGAGAGAGACACAGCATCAAGAACTCTGAACAAGGCATCTCAGTGACAAAGGAAGGGGTGTTATAGATCTGTGGTTTTCTCCTCATTATGTTTGTAAACCATCAGGATACTCGGCTGCTAATGCAGCTGCTAGTTGGAGTTTTGCTAAAGCAACTTGGAGAAGTTTTATTCTGACCGTGACTGCTAGGTTTCATTGGGAAGAAACACGGGGGTGGAGGGAGAGAAAGAGAGTTTATCACCCCCTTTCCTGTATGTCGGATACACCACAGGGAGGATTTTGTGCATTCTAGAAGATAAATAGGCTTTCTTCTCTTCTCAGGTAATAACTGCAATTTTGCTCTTCGGAAGAAGTTTACAGTCAAGCCTCAGCAAAAACAAAGCGATGGGACTTGTCGTTGGCATGCTAACAGATCATATTTATCCCTCCCTCCCTTCTCCCTTCCAGAGCTGAAGGTGTAATAAATGGCTCCTCACCACCAGCTGTTGTTGACAGAAGCAACGAGAGCATTAAACACAACATCCAGCCGGCCTCAGCCGCGTGGAGGCACAACCAGACGCTGTCTCTGAGGATCAGGTAGTGGTAATTACCTCTCGGACGAGACCCGGGCTGGGCCTTCTCGGGCACAAGCCGGCAAATTGCCACTCTCCATCATCTAAAGAAGTTGGTTTAGAAGGAAAATGCTTACCTCCCACCGAGGCAGGTTGTGTCTGGAAGCGGTCAATTGGAAATAAAAACCCAAGGCCGGCCCGGCGGCCCCGCATGTGCGTGCAGCCGCTCGGCCCCGCGGCTGGCAGGAGCGGAGGTCCTGGGTGGAAGGAGTGGGCGCTTAGCAGTGGGGCAGCTGGGAGAGCCTGGAGGCGGGGGTGGAGGGGTGCGGGGCCAGAGGTTGCTTCTCCAAAGGACCAGGGAAGGACTGCTTGCTTGGGGACTGCCTGGCATCAGGGCCTCCCACTTGGAGAGTCTTTGAAGAGCTCCCCCTCTCCTTCCCCCCACGTACACATTCACACAGTCCTATAGCTTGGCTAGGCTGCCTTCTCCAAAACATGAAAATGAAAAGCCATATCTGATCAGGTGGCCCAGGAGCTGGCATGACACCTGGTTGCAAAGGCAAAGCTCTGAGTTGCTGGGAATAGGCCCCTGTAACCTAGGAATTTCAGCTTCAGCACTTTGGCTACTTGCCTTTGATATCGCCGCCATTGCCCAGCAAAGATGGGTCAGTATAATCCAACCATTCGTTTCTAGGCATTGCACCGGGGGCCTGAGTGCTGCCATGAATCAGGCATTTTAGTGGGGAGACGATCGAAGCAAAGACAGGACAGGACAGGACAGTGTGATGCACACAGTAGGGAGCATTGCATCTTATAACAAGGTAGAGATAAAAAGATCATCCAAGGAGAGAGTACTTCATTTCGTAAGAGAACCAAGAGGGCTGGCCAGGAAAGGAGCGATGGATTTTGAAGGATGATTAGGAGTTTGCCAGGCATGCCAAGCTGCCTCCCACTCATATGCAGTCTGAAGAGCAGCGGTGCCCAAACCTAGATGCAGGTTACAGTCACCTGGGGAGCTTTAGGAAGCGTGCTGAGACCTGGCCACGCTCGGAATCTGGGCTTCTCAGGTGTCAGCGGAACCTCTGCATTCTCTATAGTCCCCAGGATGGAACGGGCACCTGCCGGGAAGCACCACAGGCTGCGAACATCCCCATCCCGCAGGCTCAGGGGGCGGTCAGCCATCTGGGCGACGGGGCAACCATCTTGCAAATCCTCTCATTTGCAAAGCGTGAGAAGATGCTGTCCTTCTGGGGCTCTGAGGAAAAGCAGACGTTCTAGCTGAAAGGGCGTCATTGTGTCTGTTTCACTGCAGGAAAGGGAACGCGTTTCAACCGATCTGGGTACCAAACTTCCTTCTAAGACTTGAGTCATCTCTAAGGATATCTGGGGTGAATTAGAAAGTTCTTTAAGTAAAACGTCAGGTTCCCGGGCGCCAGGCCGTCAAGGTTTGAGTAAAACTCCCCGGTGATGCGTAGAGGACACCCATCCTTTCTGTGGCTACAGGCTATGCTAGGTGATTCTAGAACTTTCCCCCTAAATCAAAGTCAGTCTAGAGCCTAGACAGTTATCCTTTGATCACTTTCGTTTTGAAATAACACAGAGCAACCGCGCTCTGAGGGACGAGAGAGGCATCACTAGTTACAAACCTCAGACCAGACAGCAGGTAGGAGGCCGGGGAAATCATACTCCACAAAACAGACCAGCTCACGGACTCAGTCTCTCAAAGGGAGAGCGATGGACACCCCTCAGAGTAGCCACGTTCGCATTCACCCCCTGGGAGGGCCCTGTGCCCGGAGACGTCTTCCATGGAGGCATGAGGGATGTGTGTCAGCCTGGCTACCTGTTCCTAGTTCAGGACTCGCTGTCAGATGGTGGCCTTGAGTCCTGCAAAGGAGGGGAGTAGCTGACCACTGTCTGGGCTTTCCCGACGCTGAGAGGTCTCCTGGGGAGTGCTAAGACCAGGCAGCCCTGGGAAAACCAGAATGTAGGGTACCCCTCCCTTCCAGGGCCCTCTGTGATGAGCTCGCTTGTGTCCTAACGGAGTCATTTCCTGGGGCAGTTTGCACACCTCGCAGGAAGTTGGCATAACCATAGCAACCGGGTTGGCCACTGCCATAATCGCCTCTGGGTCATTTCTGACAGTCCCTGCCCGGAACCTCTGAGGACATCTGAACTCGGCGGTCAGGTGCCATCAGCCCTGCAAGGCAATGCCGGGCAGGAGAAGCTGGGTTGGCAAAGGGCAGCTGGCACCGGGGAGACTGATCCTCATGTTTGGTTTTTGCAGGAAACAAATCTTAAAGTTCTTGGATGCTGAGAAGGACATTTCCGTCCTCAAGGGGACCCTGAAGCCCGGAGACATTATTCATTACATCTTCGACCGAGACAGCACGATGAACGTGTCCCAGAACCTGTACGAGCTCCTGCCCAGGACCTCGCCGCTGAAGAACAAGCACTTCCGGACCTGTGCCATTGTGGGCAACTTCATCATAAGGTACCGCAGCAGGGGCGCTGGGTCCCAGGCAGCAGGGGCGCTGGGTCCAGGGCAGCAGGCATACTTGAGTATTGCCAGTTGTCCCAACAGGTTGAGCCAGGACACACTGGTTGGGTTAGTCGCAACCTCGTGGGTGGTGTAACAATTTTACAGTGTGAACAGAATGAAATAAATCCATGTAAAATGGGGGGAGGGGGAACACCTTGATGTCTCTGGTCCCAATGTCCGGACTACACCCCAGACCAGTTATCAATCTGGGGGTGGGGGGGACGTGGCCCAAGGAGCCAGGTAATTCTGTTGTACAGTTAAGGGTGGGAATTGCTGGTCTAGTGCAGAGGTAGGCAATCTATGGCCCACAGCCTATTTTTATCAATAAAGTTTTATTGGCACACAGCCAAACCCATGCATTTTCATATCCTCAATGGACACTTTCTCACTGCGAAGGGTGTAGTTGGAAGGAGTTGAACTGTTGCAATAGTGTATATAGCCCGCAAAGCATAAAGTATTTATTATCTGACCCTTTACAGAAAAAGTGTACCGACCCCTGCATAGAGCCTGCTATAAATGAACAGTAAGAAAATTTCCTGGTTAGTCCAAGTTTGCAAAAGTCTTTTGAGTGTTGTGGCAGGTCATAGGCTCCTAGTAACTTTATATCCTGGAGTCGAAATTTGGGAAGTGAGAGAGCAATGGAGAAACTCAGGTTTTATGTTTGACCATCATTCTCACTGAAATATCATCTCTCATTTTTCAGTCCCCTGGGACACACCTGGAAGTATTTACCCAGGGCCCCCGACACCTGACCCCCAATCCAGACAGACTCAGAAACAAGGCCTCGCTGTCCCCTGGTCAAAAGTAGGGCACTGGGAGCCTCGAGTTTCATCCCAAACAGTGCCCCAGCCCTGGCAGAACCGCTACCGTGTCTCGCGTTTCTGCCGGGACCGTCCCTACGCAAAGGGGGCCTTGTCCTGGGCGGCCCAGTCCTAGAGCTCCTGGGACCTCAGAACGTGGGACTGGGCAGTGTGTCTGCCTCTGTGTCCGCTGGGATGGAAAAGCCACCGCAGCCTGGCGGCCAAATCTGTTTTAGTTTTACTTTATCTTTTGCCAGGTTCTGCCTGTGTCTGGCCTTTATAATGGCTCAGCCCCCACTTCTCAAAGCCCTCCAGTCTGAAGACTGAAGGAGGGAGGGGCAAGGGGAAAGAAAGCATGCTAGGTCTGTCTCACTGAGAGCCAGAGAAGGGGGGAAGGAGGGGTAGGATAGGCGTTAAAGATTTAAAGTTTGGCCCTAGCTGGTTTGGCTCAGTGGATAGAGCACCAGCCTGCGGACTCAAGGGTCCCAGATTCGATGCCGGTCAAGGGCAAGTACCTTGGTTGCGGGCACATCCCCAGTAGGGAGTGTGCAGGAGGCAGCTGATCAATGTATCTCTATCATTGATGTTTCTAGCTCTCTATCCCTCTCCCTTCCTCTCTGTAAAAAAATCAATAAAATATATATATTTTTTTAAAGATTTAAAGTTTGGGGCGGAGGAACCAGTGTGAGGAAAGCATGGAAATAAGAAGGTAGAGGCACGCATCCTGGAGGTCACTGCCTGACCACACATAGGCTGCACACAGTGCTGTTAAGAATTGAGGCCAGACAGGAGGGCTGGTCCCCACAGGGTCCCCATGAGCCTTCAATGCCAGACAGAGGAGACTGCCTATCTTAGGGTCACAGGTGTGCAGAGTCAATTCCCAGATGTTTGGGGATTAAAACAGCATTGTGCGCATGCACATGCACACACACACACACACACACACACACCTTTCGGCGTGTCCTATACACAAATGCCCTTCCACAGGGCATGTGTTAACTTACTTAATTCTTACAACTCTGTCAGGAACGTTCTATTTTGTCCTGGCTTTTGCAATGAGGAAACTGAGATACAGAAAGTCAGAGATCACACGGCTAGTTCAGGCCAGTGTCAGGCCCTGGGCATGAGCTGCCTCTCTCACCTGCAGATTTGCCTTCTGACACCTAATTCCATCCCAGCCAATAGTACTACTTTGTCTAACTGTTGTCTAACTGCTGCATAAAATGCAAATCTGCCCATGTCACTCTCCTGCTCAAGAGCCTACAGTGGCTCCCTATTGCTCTCAGAACCAAGCCGCTGACACACAGGCCCTTTGTTATCTCACCCTCCTTGCCTCTCCTGCCCCATGTCCTCCATGCAATATGCTCTAGTCCAGAGGTTCTCAACCTTCCTAATGCCACGACCCTTTAATACAGTTCCTCACGTTGTGGTGACCCCCAATTTCATTGTTACAGATTGAACATAATTAAAGCATAGTGATTCATCACAAAAC